AATATACATATGGTGTCTGAACATTAGTGCAGGAGTATACCTGGGGGCTGTATGGAAAGGAGCACAGTGCCAGACAGGAGAGACCTCCCTTTGAGTGGTTGGTCAGAGTAGTCCAAGAGACTCCCAAAATAACAGAGGCCTTTGGTGACGTCCTTGGTTATCTCTCAGAATTCGAAGGTAAGACCATACTGCTGAAGACAGGACATAATTTGTACACAGGACTTGGAATAGGGAGCAGGAGATGACCAGGAAGTCTTTTCCCTGAAGACTAGCTCTCATATTTCTAGAGGATACTATGCAAACTGCTAAGAGAGAAAATCAATCAAGGATCCAGCCCAGTCCTAAAGCTGAATAAACATAATGCCTGGAACAGCAAACTACCTCTGTTGGTGCAGTAGTGGCACTGTTATCTGGGGGGTGATCAACAGCTATCCAATTGGACTTAGAGCTCTCTCAGTGGGAGTGAACTCATGGGTGGCACTGTAATTATAGCCAAATATTCATGACTAGAAAGGCCATAGATACTAGAGAAAACCCTATCTTTGCCATATCTCTAGACAAATAAAATTTCTTACCATATGCTAAATATGGATCCTTATATTTACAGACAAGTATAGTACACCACTCATCAAAGAAGCATCTTCTTGCAAGAGATGGAGGCTACTGCAGAGTTATACAACTGGTCACATATAAAGAACATACGTTTGAGAGATGCCCAGCCCTAGGTGACATATGTACAGGGAAATCTCTACACCTAAGACTCAAGGAACCTAGTGGAACAGGGGGTAGAGAGAATATTGGTGCATCCCCCAACTCTCACCAGTGAAGCTTCTTTACACAACAGAATGAGATATACACAGAAGGCCACAACTGGTTAAGTTTTATAGAATAAGAGACTGCAGAATGTGTGTCCTTGGACAGGACTCCTATATTAAACCTCACCCACCCACAGTTCAGGGACTGTTGCAGAAGAAGGGGCAGAAAGACTGTAAAGGCCAGGGCTGGCTCTATGAACATAGGGAAGCAGAGTCTTTCAAGACACTGGAAGATTGCACGTGTGAACTTGTGGCAGTGGTGACATCGTGCATAGGACCCAAGCCAAGTCAATCAGACAAGGGCCCAGAGTGGAACTTGGGAAATGGTCCTAGTCTGAGAACTATTGGAGAGTGATTACTATTGGGTCAGAGAGAATAGGCCTTACTTATGATCTCTGGATAGGCTGACTAGACTCCAGTGGATGAATTTGCACTGAAGGACATCTGGATACAAATGTTTGACTTGATAGGACTTAACATTCATGGTTGAATACATAAGGTCTGGTGGGGGGTTGAGGGGCATGGATGAGGGAAGGGGTCTAAATCTGATTAAGAACCGTGTTTGAAAATTAAAAAACCTTAATAAAAATTAGAAAAATAAAACAAAATCTCTCCATTTGATAATCCAGAATGATGTCTCTCTAGTAGTGCTGCTCCTCTATCCTGTCTTTCATTGTCAAATTTAACTTATCTTGTAATGTGCAAATTTTCTCTGGCTCAATTTCATTCCCATTGTCATTGAGTCAGCGTTTATAGATCCCATTATCCACTATATTGTTTTATTTAAAACTACACCCCAAATATGATTCTCTTCCAGCAGTCATCACTGCCAATAGCTTTTCAGTGGGGCCTCATGAGCCTCTTCCCCATCCATAATGGAATTTTGACTGGCTTGATCATGTGCAGGTCTTATGCAGGTGTCCATGCTCCAGTGGATAGCCCCACATCCAATTGCATATGGGCAGCACTAATTGCACTCAATGAGATATTTGAAAAAAATTTAAAAAAAGAAGACATAAAATTGGAAGGGTGACCTATTGAGGTGATGGGGAGATGAAGGGAAGCTGGGTGGTCTTGGGGATGAGGCTGGATATGATCAAAATATGTTATATATGTGAAATTCTGAAAGAAGAAATAAAAAATGTCATATAAAAATAAAGCCTGTATTGTAGGCAGTATAGTGTTTGGTCATGATTTTTTTTAAAATTGTGTGTGTGTGTGTGTGTGTGTGTGGTGTTTATGGCAGGGTATATTAATGTGCACAGGGGTGTCAGGTCTGGACTTGGGGTTACAGGCAGTTGTAAGACAGCTAACATGGGTACAGGGAACTAAACTCAGGTCTACTTCAAGAGCTATATGTATTCTTACCTCCTTAACCATCTCTCTAGTCATGAGCCATGATTTTCCATTTCAGTCAACTTGGAACATGTTTGAATGGACATACTTAGACCCTTTTATATTCAAATATTTTGTCTGTTAGGGCTCGAGTCTCTTATTTTGATTTCCTTTTTTCTTATCTTTTCTGTTTTTTTTTTAATTTTCTGCTTTATTTTTTATGTGCCTACAGATTACTTCAGATTACTTGAATTACATTACCACTTCCACCTTGATGTGATCAATTATTCTTTTGAGTATGTATTTCTTTGAGTATATATCTAATGGTTGATTTATATATTTATGTTTATAACTTATAGTATAGAATGCCATCTTATTACTACCTCAAAGGAAATATAAAAGCCTTGCCCTCTCATCTTTTAGATCTTTATCATTTATTATTACTGTGTTAAATATTTCCTCTATGTACATTTTGAACATCAGGCAACATTACTATAATATGTACTTCAATCATCAAATAAACTTTTAAAAACTCAAGAGAAAGAAGGTCCACTATATTTATATATAATTTTCTTGATGTGTTTTTCTTCCTTCTTGGTGTGCTCAGGTTCCTTTGTTCATTTCCATTCTATGTAGAGAATGTCCTTCAGTCATTCTTTTTAGGTTAGTATTGATACTCATAAATTTTCTTAGCTTCCTTTATCTGGAAATGTCTTGATTTCCTCTTTTCTAGGAAGAAATTGTCATTGGGCATAGAACTCTTGGTTAGCAGTTGTTTTTTAGCCCTTGAAAAATATTGAGGTTTCCTTCTAGTGTCTAGGTTTTCTGATGCAGTCTTCTGTCATTCAGCGTATTGGTTTGGTTCCACAGGTGAGAAGTCCTTTCTCTTGTGTGGTTTTCAAATCTCATTTTGGTATTTACTGTTCAGAAGTTTGACTATCTTATATCTTGATTTGGATTGTTTGTGGTTTGCTCCAACTTCTAGAATAGCTTAGTTTTTTACTGAAATAATGTTTCCTCGAAGTCTTTTCCAGCACCACTCTCCTCCTCTTCTATTTCAGGTGACTTCTATTGATGGGAATCCAGGCTCCTATGTGATCTCTACTGATACTACAAGAGAGAGGTTTTACATAGAGGAATTGACAGTCTCGGGTCTCTACTCTGTCTTCTCTGAAGGGAACTTGGAGTACTTCTTTAGAGCCTGATGACAGTGAAAGTCTAAACTTTGAACCTGGCCTTTGCTAGAATGGGTTAGGGCCATAGTGTGCGTGTGTGTGTGTGTGTGTGTGCGCGCGTGTGATGTAACTTAGATAAAGAAATTACTTTGAGACTGATTCATGTCTTAGTTGGGTGTACCTTTCCTTATCCTTTGGCTAAAGGGAACTAGATTTTGTTTGTTTTCTTTGGTTTTGCTCATTCACAATTTCAGGTTGTTAGTTTCTGCAGCTTAAATTCTGGGATAGATGAGATAGAAAATCCTAAGGACTTACTTCCACACCATTCTTTGGATCTTGGGGGCACTAGACAGTCTGGTATCTCTCCACATTTCCTAGTTACCTTTTCTAAAACATAATAGTTAAGGTTTAGAGTTGTAATTAGTGCAAAAATTAGGGATATTTTTACTATATCATCCTAGTAATAGAGTTTATTTTTTAGATTTTATGTTTTATATTTAGCTACATCTCTCTTTTCATTTCTAATGTTAAAACATGAAATGGGTCAATCTATAAATTAGTAACATTTCTGATGCTCTAAATTTTCAAGAAAATTTTAGTAATTTGATGAATGTTTTGTCATTGGTATAAAATATCATGCATAAACATCACAAGACAAGAAAGGTTGGTTTTGTTCATGGTTTCAGAGTTTCAGTTTTTCATGGTGGGGAAGAGGTGGCAGAAGGAACATGGAACAAATTATTCATCTTAAAGAGGATGGGAAGGAAGCATAGAAAAAAGAAGAGACCAGGCACCAGGTATAATCCTACAAAGCATGCATCCAGTGGCCTTCTTCCTTCAGCTGGCTCTGACTTTTTCCTTCCTTTCTTCTTTCTTTCTTTCTTTCTTTCTTTCTTTCTTTCTTTCTTTCTTCCTTCCTTCCTCTCTCTTTTTCTTTCTTTCTTTCTCTCTCCTCCTCCCTCCCTCCTCTCTCTCCATCCCTCCCTTCCTCTCTCTTTTTCTTTTCCTCCCTCCATCCCCTTCCTTCCTCCATTTCCTTCCTTCCTTCCTTCCTCTCTCTCTTTCTCTCTCTCTTCCTCCCTCCCTCCCTCCCTCTCTCTCTCCCTCTTTCTTTCTTTCTTTCTTTCTTTCTTTCTTTCTTTCTTTCTTTCTTTCTTTCTTTCTTTCTTTCTTTCGACAGGGTCTTCCTGTAACCATAGCTGGCCTGGAATTTGATAAGGAGACCAGGCTGGCCTTGATCTCACAGAGCTCTACCTAGCTCCCCAACTCTTAGGGTCTCCCACCTCCAAAGACAACACTGTCAGCTAGGCATCAAGCATTCAACACATGAATCTGTGGGGGGACATTACACATTCAACCCATAACAATGGGGATACAAAGCTAATATTCTATGACTTCCAGATAAACTATTCCCTGAAAAACCCCTTCCATAATTTTCTTTCTATTACTTTCCTCTGCTAATATACTCTAAATATAATTATTTTTTTATAACTCTGTTTCCAGTAGTTTGATTTTATCTTTCATTAAAATTAAGAACTATGCATTAGCGCTATTTCTTATTTTCTTACTTTTACTTAAATTATTAATGTGCATAAAGTGCAATTACATTAAAGTGTTAATATGCAATAAATGTCTTTATTCTTGGTATGTTTATAACATAAAATATTTCACTTACCCAGTAATAATAATTTCTGGATAAGTTTGTGCTCCAAGATTCCAAGCTCCTCCACTCACTGGCCATTCCTAAATAGATTATCAAGCAGAATATACATTTCATTTTTTAGTTTTAATGACATAAATTTAGAATAAAAATGTTCCAAAAATAATAAAAGGATGACTTAGTTATAAAACAACTGAAGAGCACATATATAGTAATCTTCAGTTTTTAAGTTTAACTAAATGCAGAACATCAATTCCTTTAAAAAATAGATTTTAACCAATATTAACATTTACATAAACCAATAAAAGAAGTGTTTTAATTCTGTATTGCAGTGTTGCTACATGTACCATATAGTCTGTGCTGCCACCAAGCTGTTTAGTACCATTTCACCTAGAATACTATGTAAAGGGTGCCTCTTTAAGTTGTACATCTCAGCTACTCTGGGCAAATAGCAGAAATCATAATAGATGGTCTGTGATCTTAATATTTGAATATATTGAACTGCTAATATTTGAATCTTATAGAGAACATTTTAAAGAAAATTTTCATTAGGTTGTTAACAAGTATTTTAATAATTATGCCTTCTAAATGATAAATTGGGAAGGCTGATTCTTGAATTTCTTAATCATGATCCATCTAAAATAATTAAAGGGCACTTATTATGATTCTGATAGTTTACATACATAGTACACAAATGAACATAACTGATAAAGAGATTTTATTATATACTATATATTCACATACTTAAAGTATAGAAAATTTATAATCTTTTATACATAGAACTATGTCAGTCAGGAAATTAGAATTTCATTTATCTTTGATAGATATAACCTTATGACTTCAATAGATTTTCATTCAAATCCTATTATACAGAAAGTCAGAAAATAAAGTGAGAAGAAAAACCATGGCCATATATATGAATACAAGAAAAACTTTACCTTAGTACTGTACCCTTGTTTTTTATGCTTGACTCCTATGGAATAGAGTACTAGAATCAAATCTGGAGGGCAATCAGCAAAATATGCTGTACATGTAACTGGTGATTCATGAATGTCCATGGGATATGGATTTTCAAAGATTGGAAAACTAATAGATAAACAACATAAGACAACATATTAGTGTTGTATCATTTTATAAAGATAAAAACCATGAATGTTTTTAAACATTAAAACAATGTTTCTTAGCACCATAAAAAGAATCATTTGATCTGAATATTTATTTTAATATAATTATCTATAAAATGAAATGTTAGTAATGATAGAAATTAGTTTATTTTCTTTCTAGACTTCCATAATGATACCACTTTGTTAATATGATACAATTCTTTACATTATACTAAAATATTATGCAATGAGTTTGATGTATTAAAACTTATATAAACTTAGCATTATATTTAAATATATAATGTACCTCTAAATGTTAGAATATTGGTAAATTTTGATGGCATCCAGAGAGTAAATATATAGACAATTGTTAAAATTTTTGTGGTATTAGTTGAAAGATACATGTACTGAGTAGGAATGTGCATGTGAGGAGTGAGTGATTGTGTATAATTTAATGATTTTCTATATAATATGACTGATAATTTTTGGAAAAGAGTTGTGTCTACAAAGGCTGATTGACTGATTAGAAGCTCGATGATGTGGAGAGGTTGGAACGTTGTAAGTACATAGTCAAATTATCTTGGGGCGTCTTTAGCCCCCTTAATAACCATATATTACTCCCCTCTGTACATGACCTAACATTTTTGTTACCATTAGGTACATTCTTTGGAATGTATGAGCAGTTCCATAGTTTCCACCAACCAAAGGTCTAAGAATGCTGTCAGATAGCATTTAAGGCTCATAGCAGAATTCCCCTATGTCCTAGTTTTTGTCAATTTGACATAAACCTTGACATACCTTGAAGAGGGCATCTCAAATGAGGGATTTCTTCTATCATATTGGCCTGTGGGTGCATCTCTGGGGCATTTTCTTGATTACTTATTGATATAGGAAGGCACATCCCACTGTGGGTGGTGCCATCCATGGGTAGGTGAGCCTAGGCTGTATAATAAAGGTAGTGAGCAAGCCAGTGAAAGCATGCCAGTAAGAAATGTTCCTCTGCGGTTTCTGTTTCGGTTCCTGACTCCAGGTTCCTGCCTTGAGCTCCTGCCCTGGCTTCCCTCAATGATGGATGTAAGCAGTAAGATGACATAAATCGTTTCCTCCCCAAGTTGCTTTTGGTCATGGTGTTTATCAGAGCAATAGAAAGCAAACTAGAAAATCTACTTTGCTTTATCTGCCTTCCTGATATACTCGCCAATGTATATGAAAAATATGCTATTTTATGATTGTTTTTGTTTTGTTACTATAAAAAGTCCATGAAATTGCTGTCTCATTGGAATATGACATTTGAGGAATCCTAAATATGTGGTCCAGGCCATGGTCATTCATATTTAGCTCCAGAAGAAACCATTTCTTTTACTTCTTTGAGATGACAGCTGGTTCTTTCATAGACAGTAAATTAAAGAGCACAGACTAGTGGCTTGTACAACTTAAAATTACAAAAACAAATAAAAATTCATGTAGCCATAAAATACTGAGTACTTCTCATATAGCTCTCATACCAACTACTGCACAAGATCTCTGGAACTGCTGATCAACAGGTTCGAAAGAGGGAGTCCATTCCTGGAACTGAGCTTTTTCTTTGCTAGCCTATGGTGTCCAGTAGGAACAATGTCCCATGGGTAACTCTTTTTAATCCCCCTTTTATATTGTATATACTTTAAGAAGCTTCTATAGTGGTCGGTTTCCACATAACTTTTTCTATTAGCCTTTAGTGTCAGCTATCCCTCCTCATATTCTCTGTTTGCTCTGTCCTTCCATTCCCCACCCCTGTTAACTCTTCCTACTCCATTGTTCCTCTTTCCCCCCTTATATTATTATCATTCACTCTATCTCCCCTCCCATGCAGCCTCCACGCTTCCATGATTGTTTAATAGTTTCCTGAC